GTGTTAATGACTATAGAAGTGGATATCTATTTTTTTCAAAACGCACAATTATAATGTCTTATTTAAACAGCAGCTTTTCTCTTTTCGTATGAGTCAGCATGGACCTAACTGTTTGAGCATTGTCTTGTCCACACACGTGACCACACAATTCCTCACTTTGAATATATCTATGAAATATGAATCTTAATTTTATTTCTCTAACGACACCCAAGTGGGTCGAAATATCTTTGGCACATATATTTGTTCTCATGTGAAGTTTCATTTTTTATATAAATTCCTAATTCTGTGAATTGTCAGATATTTATGAGTATCATTTAGTTATAATAATTATGTAAGATGACGCACGTACTGACATATGCATACGGGAACAAATTGATCGGAGGGTCAACATACATATTACTTGTGTCAAATATACGCAACAATTATATTTTAGATAGAAAACAATTATCTTTAAATGATGATGATGAGCTACATAACTAAAAACATTATCATAAATCGTAAGATTTGAACAAAACATACTCGCGATTAGTCAACGATAAGGGGATCAACACTGGCGTAAAATGTGTAAAGTGTTTGTTTATACGGACTATACGTAAAGTGTTATCATTCCTTTGTAATAGTAAATAATCATAATCAACTTATTTTAAGTGTTTGATTTTAATTATTATCTGGTAGAGGCGAGACAGAAGTCAACTCTAATGTTTATACGTGTGGCTGTTCTTAAATTTATCCATATAAAAATAAAATGTGCTCACGGGTCCAACTTCGATGGACTTGCGCGGATATATACGCATGCAGACAAATTTGAAAGAAAGAAAAAAATGTCTCATCAGATTTTTCGTTTATTTAAATATATTTGGTCATAGAACTCAATTATTTTGGTAGGTAAAAAAGTCCAAGAAAATTGATATCATGGATATTATTATTTAAAACAGATATTTATAAGCATACCAAAGTATGTAGTGTAGTAAGAATAGCTAAGGACTATCTATTAAAAAGAGCCATTATGAATATGTCTTCTGTGTAAGACATACTTAAACAAAAAAATTCCAGGTGATCATCTCTTGACCACTTTGTTGTTGTTATAAACTACCATCGACATTCTGATAACTTTAACAAAGTTTTGTATTTCTTTATGTACAGATTTTTTTCCTATAGCAAGTTTTTCGGTTTCTTAAAGTTTAAATGGAATATTCTCGATAGAAAAAAAATATCAAAACTTAATAATATGCAATCTTCGTATTCGTATGATATACTTAAAGACAAATATAAACTTTTTTTTTTTGCTAAATAAAAACTTACTTGTGCAATGGGAATGAAGATGCTTCGACGTGGACGTTTGTTACGAAAATACATAGTGCCAGAGACTAAGCTAATGAGGCCCATAGTCATGGCTGCAGCAGAGACTCCGAACCCAATGTCCATGCCCGAATGAGTTTGGACCCAAACGAGGAGAGTGAGCGCAATAAGCTCTCCCATGGAGAAGGCGAAATAAGCGGCATTGAAGTAAGACGAGAGTCTTTTAGATTGTTTTGGATGCGACTGACAAAACTGGTCCGCACCGTGAGCTATCATATTTGGTTTCACACAACCACTTCCTAAAGCCACCAAGTAGAGTGCCATGAAGAAGATCATGGCCTTGAAACCTTTTGCTTCTTCGCATGAGTTTTGTTCTACCAATGGATTACACTTTGGTGGCTTTAATTGAGGTAAATGTGCTTGTACTGATAGTAGTATGAAACCCTGGGAAAACACGTGGCAGTACATAGTTAAAAAACAATAAATTGCATATTTAAATAGTTTCAGAATGAGAAACTTTGATCTGAAAGATGTTGAAGTTCTGTCACCTTAACATGCAATTTTCATGTATAATTAATTAAAATCGTGAAATAATGGAGAGAGCACACACAAAAAGCATGTTGCATGGACATATACACGTAAATCAGTTACGTGCATGCACATTATCTATACAAAATATATGTTTTGTTAGGAATTCTGTATCAGATTTTTAGTTTTGGAATGGAAGCTATGAAACTCACGAGATCTGTACATACTTATGTGTCAAAAATTGAAAGGTCAGAGGATGAACATACAGAAAGCTCGACGGAGCCGAAGATGAGGATGGTCCAGAAGCTGCCTAGAAAGGCGTCGGAGAGGTAGCCGCCGAGAAGGGCGAAGATAAAGATTGTGCCGACAAAGTTGGTGACTATATTGGCTGCTTTAGACAAAGGGAAATGCATTTCGTTTATAACATATGTTATAAGGTTGTTCCCCACCGCTGCTATCCCCATTATCTCAAATGCTTGTAGTCCTTAAAAAATAGAATCAAAAACACAAACCATTAAGAAATAATATAATGAGAAATCTTATATTGCACAACGTCCATGGAATAAAACATTATAGCTAGTGACCAAAGGTTGGATAAGGTCGGGTTCTTATGGACCAAGACGCTAAAACAAGATGATTCATCATCACTGGCTACAAACAAATCTTTCACACTAGCTAGCTAAATTAGTTTTTGTAAGATT